ATTTACTTTATAATTTTTCTTTATTAATTATTTCTATAATAAGAAAACCTATATTTTTCAATTGTTTTTTTTATTATGTTTAAATCACTTTTATTTTCTAAAACCTATAGTCATCTATCACATTAATTTAATTTTTAATTTTATACTTTATAAAGCTATCACTTTGAGATTAAGATATCATTTATTGACATAAGGCAAGCATTGATATACAATTACAAACTTGTAATAAGGAAAATGTACACTTAAACTATAACAACACTTATATATAAATATAACATAAATAAATAAACACAGCCAAAGTTGTGAAGAAGATATAAATAATTTTATGAAAATAAATGAAATATAAAACATATTGAGTTATTATACTATAGGTTTATCTTTGGAAATTGTGATTGCATTACTGTATGTAGGAATGAGTTATTTAACATATTTGTACATCTCATCAGACTTACACTTTTTTGTTAAACCTGAATACCATGCAGTGCTATAAAAAGTTACGGTACCAACTGTATCATAATTTGCCAAGGGAAAGAGTGTTTCTCTACAGATGCTAAATTTGTTAAAGTACAATTTTTTTGTATTTTCATCAAATTTGAATTTATTTGAGTACATATTTCTGTTATGTGGTAGTTTAAAATTTAGTATTATTATAAGAGGTGATTGTGTTTACCCTTTTTGTGGAAATTTAATACCATTTCATTTTCATATTCAATATGTAGCATTTTTTATTGAAATGGTCAAACTGTGCTTTCAAAAATTTTACTTATTATGATAATGATTTTAATTATAATAATAATATGTTATATACTGTATAATTTTTAAGTGCTTTGCAAATTTAAAAATTTAATACCATTTCATTTTCATATTCAATATGTAGCATTTTTTATTGAAATGGTCAAACTGTGCTTTCAAAAAATTGTACTTATTATGATAATGATTTTAATTATAATAATAATATGTTATATACTGTATAATTTTTAAGTGCTTTGCAAATAATAATTTTAATATTTCTGTTGCATTTTTGCCTCGGTTGGTACAGGAGAGCTCCCAGGCATTGCCCTCTTTTGAGCAATCCTACATACAAACAGGTCGACCTATGTCCATTTTTGTAAATTTGAAATGGTGGAAATAAATTATATGATATGACTTTTTAATTTGTCAATTTCATAGGCCTAGTTATTTTTCTACCAATTATTAATGTCTACTTTTGTATGTACTAAGAGTCTAAATCAATAGGGTCCGGTTGGATGAACCCTCACAAAAAATTGTTGAAATAAAAAATTTACAGCAGCTGGTGGGATTATGGATGAGTTAACAACAATGGTGGCACTAGTCACACATTTATCATCCTAGAGAATGGTGGTACGTGTACGTTGGATCCTACATGCATCATAAAGCCAGAAAATACAAACATTAGTGTTACGTCGGGCGTATTTTACTGACTCGATGATATTCGACAACAACACTATGTCCCAGATTGTCGAGTCCAAGATGTGTATAAGAGACAGACACACTCAAGCGCCGCCACCTCGGTCCTCGGCATTCTGTGGTTGGAGGTTCAAATTTTATTATGAAATTTATACTGTGATCTATAAAAAATGAAGCCATGATAGTAGGCCCAAAGTACCGTAAAAGCGATTTTCAATTTCCAAAACACACAGTAGTTGCAGACTGAATGTGTAGGCTACAGTAGGTAGGACCAGACCCGGTTTGACAGCACTAGGCCTACACACCTGAAACTGTGGCTCCTCTAACATGTAAAATTCCTGGCCCTTCCGAGGCCTGTTACATCTAGGGTATATTTTAGGTACGTCCCGAGGCAAAACAACATAACTGACATTTTTGTCGATTTTGAGATAATATCATTTGGGAGTATATTAAACATGTCTAAATTACCTGTAAAAATTTCAGGTCTCAATAATGAGTCGTTTCAGAGATAGCACCACCTATCTTTAAGCACAAAACTTAAAATCTAGTGGTTTTCCGTGGCAAAACAACGTAACTACAAGATTACGGGGCAAAACAACGTATCTAAAAGGAAGATACGTTGTTTTGCCTCGGAATGGTATTAAAAAATTGTCTTGAGCTAATGGAGTTTGGCAAGGCAAAATCAAATGGTTATTGGTGTTTTTGTCAATAATCTTAACATTGACGTATGAACAAGCTAGATGCATACTGTAATTGCCCCAAACATGATAAATTTCAAAAATATTTCTTACTTGCATCAATACCGAGCCTGACATATTTCCAAGACAAAACAACGTATCTGTAATTATTGCTAATAACTTTGCAATGAACAAACAGTTGTAATTAAAATTTCACATAATCACAATATCTATAGGCATTAAATAACCAAATTAGAGCGTCTGAAGTTACAAATGGCGCGTTACATCCTAAAAGCTTCCAGAAAGACTCCGAGTGCTACATTATACGGAGAGCTTGGATGATCAATGACTTGCACAAAATTTCCCGCGTTAAATACTTTAGCAGGCTAACTTCGTTGACCATATTTTGTTGGCCCAAGCTGCTAACTAGCTATGCTACAACTTAATTGATTCCGAAACATCGGAATCAATGAAAAATTTTCCCCTATTTTGGTCAAAAGCTCTGTCAGGTAAACTTGACCTGCTTACATCTCATTCGTAGCTGCTATTGGCTTAAAGCGCGTGACTTGACTTGATTCATAGACAGGGTAAAAACGGTTCTGAATACAAAATTTTAAAGAAAAAACGATCACTAGTTATTTAACCGACCAGCATGGGACTTACATGGTAAGAAAGCTTAATTTATGAGCTACAATTGACCGTCCACCCCAAAGTTCAGTTACCTATCGTTGCAGAGTTATGTTAAGAAGCAGGAGTATACCAAAAACACTCTAATTGTAGACCCTTTCCTATGCAAAAGCATTAGATGTTGTCGACTGTGAAAGAAAAATGATCACTCAATTTTGCAATAATTTTAAGAGATTATTATAGAACTTAAAACATCTAGTTTCATAGTCCAGTCGCCCTAGATTGCCAAATGAAACCATTCAAATTATAGAGTCGATTTTGTGAGAAAAAGGGGTCCGGTTTTGATTCATTTACTGTGATAAGGTGTGCTGTGAACGGTTCAGTGAGCAGATGTCTCAAGGTTTTCATTATGTATATGGCCTCACGTTTGTAATTTTTTCAGATTCACCATACTCATTTCTATTTGTGAGTAATCTGCAGTGGATCCTTTGGTTATTCATTAGTTTATCGTATCGAAGACGGTTGCTTAAGTGATTCGAGGAATATTCAATGTGCAACGACTGCCGTGCATCTAGTGGTTTTCATGGTGGAATTATGAATTGTAATTAAAATGATCATATATTTATTAATTTTATTTATTTATTTCGGTATCAAACACCAACAAATACAAACGACAGCCATAGCATGGACTGAAATGATTTTGCCTAGGCAATCGGCCCACAAGACAATTATGCCTAATTTCAAACCATGAGTGTTTTAATGTGTCGTCGCTGGTAACTGGTGGCCTAGCACTTCATCTTCCAAGCTCACTCAAGACACTACTGAGATATTTTACGATCTCCACTACTACTAACTATTACTAGTACTACAATGTAGGCCCAACAGTTTAAAAATAGAAGGCTTCCACTGTTTAATTACATTACAACAATTATGATTCAGTTTTTACTAAATAGAAGTAACTTTGTGTTTCAGTTTCATTTCAAACCCTCAATCACGACGTTTTTGACTTGGAAAATATCAATGATCTTTCATTTCATTGCACATGCGCAGTAGCATGTCAGACTTTCTATCAGTAACCACAGCGTATTAAGATTTGGTGAAAGCCTAATTTTATTTTTAAATCTGCGCAGAAGACGGCCCTTACTTTCAGAAATGAGCCAACGGATTTTTGCGAGGGGGATATATTTCCCGCGTAGGTCTTACTATACAGACTGGTTGAGGCCCACTCTTTCCCCCCCACCCCGATATCTATACTGCTATCAACAGCTCAACTTGGCTGTTTTAATGTGCACAATTATTATCTATTAGCGTTTTAACACAGCACACTCAATAATAATAAGTAAAAATTAGGGGAAATTTTTACATTTCATTTTTTATAAAAACTTATTTTAGTATATTTCTCTCAGCAAAATATTGGTCAGGCCATACATCGCAGCCAAACTTGTTCACAGGCAAAATGGTCCTACACCCTGTCTAGGTAGGTTTGGCTTAGTACTGTACCAGGGATTTTATTCTGGAACCCTGACTAAGGCACTAGTCAGCCACTTGCCGGACCATACAACTAGGGCCTACGCCACATAGACGTACCTGTATACTAAAGGCTTCCTTTCCATCCATAGCAGCCTAGGCAGTATCTGACAGTATGCTGAAACCCAGTTTGCCATGTCCCAGATTGTCGAGTCCACTTTGACTAAACGCATTTTACTGAATGCCATTTTACCGGCCCAAATTTATGAAAACCAGTTTGCCAAATTTTAACCCACTATCTAAAATAGTTTGTCAATTGCTCTATTCACCGCCGTGGATTGTACAAAGACCTGCAGCTACTGTTCTTTGGTCAGTAACGTATCTAATCTATAAAGTAACTAGGAAATAAAGTTTGAGTGGGGAGGCAGGCTCAACTATAAAGTAAAGAAGATGAGACAAGAAGAAGACAAGTTTGATGTCAAGTTTGGCTGCATTGAATTACTATAATGTTTACGGTGCATATACACCTCCTTCTATCGTTTTGATTGTATTCTAAATGTAACCAAAATGCAAAACGAGTTGGTAACATACAGTCTGTATTGAAAAAAGACAAATACTAAAAACCAGCAAAAAAAAGCTCCCGATTCTTATTCTTTTAAGTTTTGTTATGCTAAACAAGTTTGTTTTTTTTTAACTTGGCATTTTTTACTGTGCCGTATTTTGTGAGATTTTTAGGTAGCAGATGACAAATTGAATTGGAGACCTGTTGATAATATACTCCTACTTAATATTTTTCAGGTTCAAAGATGGTGAAAAAAGTCTGTCTTTTGTTGATGACACTTTTTATTTGTGCTGAGTTTAATTTTGCCAACTCAAAACGTCAACATGTGAGTAATGTGTGTACATATGACCAACAGACAGATGTTGTAATTAAATTTAAAGAATCAAAACGAAAGGGGGCAAAACTTTTAGGGGCGGTCAGTACAGATAATTTGGATAACTGTCAAGAAAATTGCTGTCAACATAATGGTTCGTATTTTGTTTTTTATTTGAATTCAAATTATAATTTGGTGAACATGTGTTTATCCCTGCATTATATATGATTGCCTGAGCTCTTTTTTTGTATAATTGGCTGATATATTATATAGCCTCATTGATTTATTATGCATAATTAGCATATTTTCTGTGATTGGCTAAGGTACATCCTCATTATCTATGTAATATGCATCTTGTTCTTGATTGGCTATGATGAATCCTCGTTATCTTGGCATTATTCATCTGTTTTTGATTGGCTTTGATGCATTGCTAAACCCCGCAAACCCCCAAAAGCACAGTGCAAATTCCATCCAAACCCTGTGATAGTGATTGACTCGCATAGTATAGGACTCAACTTTGTATGTCAATAAAAATAAAAATCATAATTTTATGTTCGTCACAACCTATTTTTGGGGTAAAAAGGCAATTTTTTGTATAAAAACATTGCTAAACCCTGCAAACCCCCCAAAAAACAGTGCAAACCCCATCCAAACCCTGTGACAGAGATTGAATCACACAGTATAGGACTTAACTTGGTATCTTAATAAAAAAAAATCAATTTTATGCTCACAAACTATTTTTGGGATAAAAAGGCCATTTTTTGTATTTAAAAAATTGCAGTATTTTTATACAAAAAATGGCATTTTTACCCCCAAAGTAGGTTGTTACGAACGTAACATTATGATTTTTTTACTGAGATACCAAGTAAGTGCTATACTACATGATTCAATCACTATCACAAGGTTTGGATGGGATTTGCATTGTGCTTTTGGGGGTTTGCCCTGTTTTTTAGGTATTTTTAACAAAAAATCAAAATCAAGATTTTACCCCAAAAATAGGCTGTTATGAACATAAAATTATATTTTTATTTACTAAGATACCAAGTTGAGTCCAATACTACATGATTCAATCACTATCACAGGGTTTGGATGGGGTTTGCATAGTGTTTTTGGAGGTTTACAGGGTTTAGCAATACCCTTCTTAACTGTGTTAAAAATAACTTGACCATTTGGTAGACCAGTACTTTTGTATTGAAAATGTATCCAGTCAAAAGAAAAAATAAAATAATGCACACAAGATTCGTAATTTCAAAAATGGGATATTGTGTATTACTGAGTATGCTAAACCAGTTCTCAAATTATATAAAATCAGTAAACTTCTTTAATTTTCATTACTTGTGCATGCTTACCTGAGCTGGTTTTTTGGTTTGGCTGTATTAATTAGTCACATCATTTATGTATTATGCAAAATTATCCAAGCTCCTTTTCACTTTAAATGAAGCCTCATTATTGTATCAAAAATACCTGTAGCTCTTGAGCCTAGCTTAGAATAACATCTACTCTAGTGGCTTTCATATTAATAATGTATCAATATTTTTATCAATTGTTGATTGTATATCACAGATAACCATAATATTTGCCTAGCTAAATAATCTAATCTTCCAACATATTTTGTATCTTCACATTTTATAAATACTGTACCTTGTTTCATTGAAATTTCCGTTCATTTTTTTTTATTGTTGGTAGTGTTCTCAATTAATATTCACATCTGCTATTAAATCCCCATTCTTGGCAAAATTAGAGTTTAAGAAAAATCAGATTTTTATATATTATAAATATTTTTAAAATAATACGAAATTGCTAGTTTAACTGAATTTATAAATCCCTAAACATGAAAAAAAGTGTAGAATAAGACTGAAATTTGATTTTTTTTATTGTGTTCCACACAAAAAATTCTTATGTTTGATTTTGTGTGTGTAGGCGCTGGAAACATTAGCCTACTGTATCCAACACTGCTACAGGTAGGCTAGGCCTATCCTTACCTCGATTTAGGTTCTGTTTTCAGACGTAAAAATGGCCTACATGATATTTTCCATTGCTAGTATTGACAATGACACTTGTGAAATATAGCACTGTATTTCATTGGAATTATTTGAAATTTGGTAAAAAAAAGGATTCTGACCAGGATTTTGACATTTAAACAAACATATCTCAGGCCAACTCGATCGACAGCAGTGTGTGAGATGCGAAGTACAAAAACTAATCTCATTAGAGAGAGCACACTTTATTGACTTAATAAATTATACACAAAAGTGAGAGCATTCCAGTGGATGCGATCTACAACCTCTGAATTTGCCTAGTTAATAAAGAATTTTTTTTTTTTTTTTTTTTCAGAATTTCCAAAGTATATATTTACATGACAATCAAAGAAAAAACAATGATCTAAACAAAGACAAAAAATACAAAAAAGCATTTGGAGTGATACCCTCCACCCCCTGAAACTCAAACCGACCAACACCAGTAAAGATTTGTATTTAAATGGATGCGAAAATTGGATAAATACTGCTAAAATTCTCTTTTTAAAATTAACTTCTCCCTCCTCCTTCCTATTTTTTCTGTTTTTGGGGGGTTTTTTTTGTTTTTTTGTTTTTTTGTTTTTTATTTATTTTATATGATCATTTTATTTGGGAGAGTGACCCTATCAACTATCCCCTGTCTCCTCATCTACACTGTATGCAGATATGGGTGTATCTTGCATTGTTAAATCAAACCAATTCCAGATCAAACAGGAAGTGGGAGGGGAGAATAAAGGGAATCAATGCCGACCATATCAATACATGCATGTAACATCTCCCTCATCAGTTTCTCTAGCCTGTAATACTGTTACCCTTTATACTATTTTCATCAGCAGCATACTTATATATTTTTATAATTTTATTTTCTGCTATGTAACTGTTTCAACAAATAAAAAAACTTATGGATATTAAGGAGATGTCCTCAACCATCTGAAGCACAAATCAATCAAGAATCATCCGTATTAAAAAAAACCTTCCCACTCCTCCTCCTCCTCCACAAAAATTTTCTTTCATGTTATTTTTTTTTTTTTTTTTTTTTTTATAATTTTTTTTTTGTCCGCTTTCACGGGGACTCATGGTTCTTACACTGTACATTATTTCAACTGACATCACATCTGTCGAGGAGGAGGAAGAGAGGGAGGGGAAAAAAAAAAAAAGAGATACATACAAAGTGAAACAGGATGGTGAAAAAACCAATAAGGATTTGAGAGACATGTATTAATTTGGCAGATACTATTAAAGTACTAAACTCATTTTTCAAAATTAATTCTCCCTCCCCCTCCCTGTATATTCTCAATGCTTTCTCTTAGTACATATTTTTTTTCCAGATCAAACAAGGTAGGGGGGGGGAGTGTGGGAAGAGGAGAAGAGAGAATATCACTGCCAACATTATCAGTACATGTTATCACCTTTATCAGTTCCAAAACTCTGTAAACCTGTTATTCGTAATAATATAGTACTCATCAACACCTAACATATTTTCATTAACCTACTGTGTAAAATAGTAATTATTATATTCGAACCAAATAATTGTTCACCTCAGAAAATTTTAACTCCTTATGTGTTGATCATTTAGTACATGTTTATTTATTTATTTTTTTTTTCTTTTTGAAATGTAACTCTCCTATCAACTATCCACCATCCCCTTCTATCCAACTATGTGTGGATCTTACTAGTTAAATCCAACTAGTTAGAGCTAAAATCGGAGTGGGAAGGGGAGAAGAAAGAGAATCACATCCAACCATATCAATACATGTTACATCTCCCTTATCAGTTCCGAAACCTATAAAGCTGTTACTCTTAATAATATGATACTCATCAAAAGCAGACATATACTTTCATTAATTAGCTATGTAGTATTGTAATTATTATATTTTTGCCACATACTTGTTGGCCGAAGAGAATTCTAACCCCTCAAGTATCACACATACTGTCTACAAAAAACTATCAAGTATCAAAAAACTGTCTACAGAACCTAGAGGGGCCATTAAAACTGTGTTAGTACAACTCTAGGTTCACCTCAACTGGTAGATATTATTTTATTTGAATTTAATTTATTCACTACGAAACATGGGAATAGATATAAAAAATCAAAAATATGTTCAAGTGATAGTACTTGTACAATAGTACACCTTTGGTTCAACTCAAACAGGTATAATGATTATGTGTTTTTCCAATTTCATGCAAAATTTTAGCCTTTTTACCCTTTTTTTTTAATTCATTTTTTTAAATTTTATTTTTTATCAATTTTTGTTTATATATTTATTTTTTTTATTTATTTATTTTTTTATTTATTTATTTATTTATTTATTTTTTTTGTAGTTTTCTTTTTAAAGAACAACAATCCCTTCATAAATCCATCAAAGGATTTCACAGATTTCTCACCTTTATTCATTATAACTTGAAAAAGTTGTTGGGAACATTTTTGTCCCAAGCAATTGGTTTTGTTTTTTTTTTTCAACGAAGAAGTTCTCGAGAAAGTGGTATTCTCCTATGAGAAAGTCTCTATTTCTCTTTTTTTTTGTATCCTTTTGCGTAAAACTAAAATTTATGCCAATATTTTTCCATGGTTAATAATGATTAGTGTAATGCATATATTTTTTCTGAAAAACTTCTGTTTTTTTGTGAAATTTTGCTGGGAATGGGGCTTTAACATTTCCATTATGTTTTCATTCATAATTATTAAAGTTGCAAAACTTAACTGATTGTTTTTCTCATTTTGCTATCCCTACAAGAAATATAATGATTAAAATCTATGATGATAATTTATAATTCTGTCATCAGCCAAATTTGTTTCTGCAATTGATGTTTGTAGTATTCTATAATCTGCATAGCTTTCTTGATTCTTCATTATTTCAGGTTGTACTGTAGCGCTCTTCCATTCCACAAATGCAACAGAAAACTGTTACTTCATTCGATGTTTTCCATATGATGTCTGTACTTTTACAACTCTCAGCAATTTCTCCATATCAACAGTCTCTCTAGGTAAAAAGTTCATAATAATAATAATAAAGGCTTTGTTTAAACACAGAAAACTTGTATCACCCGAAGGTTTTCTTCTACAAAGCTGTGATATTTATAATAGAATACTAAGATTAATACAATTAAAACTAAACAATTTTATACTAGTAAATATAAACAACTTCAAAAACTTACACCACTGGGTAATGACTATTTAAATGAATAAACATTTGTTGCATTTTCTGCACATTCAAGACTATTCCATAATTTGGCACCACAATACAAAAAACTTCATTTTTTGTGACTCTGTTTTGGGTTTTTTCAAACACAAGATTTCATTTGATCTTGTATGGTATTCTTCTTCCTTAGGGGTAAATAATGTGTTTAAGTATGGTGGTGCTTGATTATGGAATATCTTTAAAAATGTAATAGCCTCATTTCGATACAGTTGGTCTTCAAGTTTATTCCAGTTTAAGTTCGGCAGGGCTTGTGAACTTGAGTCATATTTTCTTACTAAATTATTTTAGCTGCCCTGTTTTGCAACACTTCATGTTTATTGTTTTATTTAGACAAAATTTGATATATATGATTACATTTTTTTTTTTTTTTTGTAATCCCGTGCTGAGGGACACAAAAAAGCACAAAGTAACAAAGACAAAAGGCAATGAGGCTGTCTAAAAATGTTTGTGATGCAGTCTACAGTAGACCCAAGCATGAAATTAAAATGACACTCTGTTGGCCAAACTAATTTAGAATTGAACACCTATCATCCTTTTTCAAATCTTGACTGACTAATAGTATTACCCAGTTATTCCACTATGTGCTCACAAGATAGTAATTTTAGCAATCTTCCTTGTTAAGCCAAGAGTTTGTCATAAAGACCAAAGATAATGTTATGATCACAAAGAAATTTTGACTAAACTTAGCATGGCTAGATCATCTACAGTATCCACTTAATATAGGTATGTCTGGTCTAACCAAGGAGAAGTTAGTTTAGATGTCTAACCAATCCGATAAAATAATAACAAAGTACGTAATCAACACACCACACAATTACTGTACCTTTGATAGTGGTTGGTATTTTCAAAATATTACTATAATAAATAATTCCATGTTATTTTGATGAGATCAGCTCATCTTTTTAACACTTTTAAAATCATCATTCGTCTTTGTAAGTTTCTATGTAGTTATATTTCACTAAAAAGTAAACATTATTTTGTTTTATGTCTTTTGGGCATAAATTAGAAAAATTATTATAGAGAAACTTGCTCTATTGATCCAATCTGGGCTTTGTGAGGCAACAGGCTTGAAATTTTGAATAGACTGTAGTCTGAGCTTTACAATTAATGAACAGTAACACCCTACAGTCCAGCCAATTTTACAGACACTAATGCAGATTGATAGAATTTGATTATTTTGTATTCTAAATTGTGGAGATCCTCTTGAAAAACTTTGTCCCTGATTTAATTCTAATCACTTGTGTGTCTGCTGCAGGACTGGGAGACATTTATCACATAGCACACCGTCTGTCAGATGAGCAGTTTAGTTAAACTATTGGTCCTGTGCATGTACACTCTCTGGAAAAGAGTAGGGAACTTACTTAATTTATAAAACAAGAATAAACTATAATTCCTAATTTAGAGCAATTGGAATTATACAGTTTTATAATTCAATCAGTAACACCTTACATGTTTTCTTGATTTTACTTTCAGATAATGAAGCATCAGATATCAGTGAAAAAGGTAAATATTTTCTGTTATCAATAATTTAGATGCAACATTGTTATTCTTCATCTTTTTTATTTGCAAAAAAAACAAAGTACAATATACAATAGTGATACATATATACAAACAATGCAATAATCTGAATGCCGGGGTCCTGAGTTGAGATTTTTTAACACACCTAATTTCTTTTTGCTGCACATAGTGATACCTATCGGCACTGGCTTCCGTGAGACAATTGATAATAAAGCAGTGAAAACATGCAAATGGTATGAATCATATCATATCATAATTTGTAAATAAGACCTGTATTATTACTTATGTATTTTGTTATTGTAGAATATATTTTCTCCATGATTAAACCAACTTTGAAGAAATTCAAAGGAATTTAGAAAACAAACATTAAAAGAAAAGCATCAAAAGGAGACCCTTTAGAAACAGGTGGAAATATTTTCAAATAAATGTAATCATTAGTTTTTGGGAATATTGTGATAAGTTTGAAATACAATTAGAAACCATCTGTTGTGTTCAGCACTGGTCCAGATGTGTTTATCTGCAAATTGTAAGTAAAATGTAGGTTAAGAGAAATCATATAATTGGGATGTACACTACTTGGACTAGGTCGGGTATTCAATCCCTCACTGTGTGCTTATAGGCTGAGTCAAATAGCTTCGTCAGTTGTTTCTAAAGATATCCCACATGTGGACATGACAATTAGATTATTATATTATATTATTATAGCATATTCTATTGTATCTGCCAGAAAGAAAAATGCATTTTTTCCAGTTTTTGGCAAACAATGTATTCTGTCCATCTAGATTCTAGATTATTTGCCACTAATATTTGGAACATGCCACACATATATTTTAGGAAATAGGTTAGAACAATTCTCATGCCTGTCAGTCGCTTTAACTAGGCATATCAGCATGAATACTGACCATATTTAACATATATGGTTGGTACCCAAGTAAATCCCAAGTAAGCAGCATTCCATGGTTAGTTAGATTCACTTCCTGTAGCCATAAAAAATTAGCCCCCAAAACTGATATTCCAGACATCTTGACGGCTTAGAATTGTCCTCAGAAGTTCAGGTTCTCCAAAAGTATTTGACAAATAGAAATTCAACAAAATTAAACTTACAGCAAGTTTACTGTCAGGTAGACTAACTAGCCTATCTAGTAGGACTGGGTTGACCGTGACAGGAATTGTCCTATGCTTCAATATGAAAAGATTGATTGTATGTATGCCAAAACAAGCTTAGTATGTAAGCATACTTTTTATTCAAATTGTGTCAAGTAAATCATCCAAATGGTGTGTCCATAATAAATTGACGGGAAAATATCAGTGAATGAATAAATTTGTCACTTATGATAGGATAATTTTTGTATTGCCTGTGCCAAGTGCAAGTTTTTTCATCTGCTTTTTTTAAAATTTTTTTTATTTATTCATTCTGAAGTAAAAACATTCAAGGATAAAAACACAGAAAGTAAAAAAGCAACTTATTTCCACTGTGGTCCCTAAATGAGAATACTAAAATTACAGAATAATAATAGAACAATAAGGAAACAATACAATTGCATGGGTTGGTATATGTTCAGAGGTCCCCTCCCCACAAGGCCACCTTCTGTACTGACGGCAACAAACATACATATTTGTACATTATCGTCTAGGTGTATCTGTTTTTAACAAGTATACTTTTGCTTGGAGACCTCAGTGCACCCTGTATGACGAGTATTCAGTTTACATCTAAGTTTATATATTTATTGCTTTCAATAGTCAAATACAGTGCCTCACAATACAATATTCACTTTACATCTTCCAAGCATGCAAATAAATTTTACTCGCTTCTTTACTATGTTTTTCTTGGTAGTTTTTTAAGCAATGAACTTTATAAATCACATTATTGAAAATAAGAGAACCATAATATTACCGAAAGGTCCACTGATTAATCTCAGATAAGATAATATAATACATACTCCAAGTATCGAAATGCACGCCATCGTTTCGGGATTCAATATTTCGACATTAATTATGTTATCATCAGGAATAATATTACAATATTAAAAATTAAAAAACATACACAGAAATATTTTGAGCATATCTTTACACAAGAGGTTGCCATCTTAATTTTTAGATAAAAACCATTTAGATTTGCGTACATGCGACACCCTGGTGAGCTGAGACATCTGATCCTGAAGCATGCCCGATCAATAGCAGAATTATTTCTGTCACACATGACTGATTTCTCCATGTTGGCTCTGAATGTATGTTCAATTGGATGTCAATATTTGTAGTTGTGTTCGACAGATGTTCTGTTTTATCTCACTGTTCACTTCTTAAATTTAAACAAACATTTTTGTGTGACATATCTCCAAGATAATATGGTAGAAACAAGTTCTCGTAAATCTTGAAAGCTCCGATGAGGGCAGTATAATAGAGGCAGTAGAGTGTGTTGGCCCTAACTACCGCTGATACAAAAAAGATCTATTAATCAATCAATTAGCCGAGTATTCCTAGCGCTCCCTCCTATAATCTACAGCTATGGTGTCCATGCCATTGTATATGACATTATAAGAATAAATACAACATAAATAAATAGAACTAACAATATGTGAATTATATTCAGCATGTAAAACATGAAACGCAGCCAAACATGTTAAACCTGTTTTACATTAAACTTATGGATTGAATTTTCCAAAAATGTCTGAGACAACAACATTTGATTTGAGAGATGAGATATTATTTTTAATGTATACAGTATTTTGGAATCATATAGGCATGTAATCCCACCAAAATTATTTGTAAGCTATCATTAACAGATGATGATGTGTAGCAAAATATGTGCATTTTTTTTTTATCTATAGAAAATATTTAATAATTCTGTGGTGTGATTTTTACTAATAAAGTACTATGTTCATTTTTTTTTATAATATGAGGTTTGCCATTCCAAAACCAACACCAGTGACCAACAAATGAAAATACTTATTTTCCACTTAAGCTTTAAAGTGATGGGTCATTTACTAGAATCGACTTAAGGTTGCCAAAGTCATGAGTAAAAGTATTACAGTTTCTCTGTACTAAAGTATACAATAGAGCCACATTCTATACTAATTAGTCAGTTTAACAATTAGTGACAGTATGCTGGTTTTGGGTTGGCAAGCCTGATATGCTCTGGAAAAAATTTAGGTACAGTATGACATTAGTTATGTTCAACCTGCGCCAAACCACCTTCCCCAAATCTATGTAATTGTTCTTTATCACAAAACGTTTTCTATATGAATTTAATAACAAACACAATTGGGGTGAGGGTGGTTAAAATAGTATAGTTATCCTAAAAAACTCATTCATGTTTTCCATTATTTTCAAAAGAGTATAAAACATACTCTTTCCTATAATTTTCTCCCAGGCAGAAAACACCACAATATAATAGAAATCTTTCATATTATCTTTTTTTTAAATAAATGATTTACTTTGTTAACCACCTTCCTCAGTGTATTTTTTGTATCCTGAATGGTGACTTCTAGTGCATTACTATTTAAACACTGCATTCTATTTAATGATATTATTTAATCGTTTTTGCAACATTGATTAGAGGAGGAATATGACACAGTAACTTGGCCAAACTGGTGGTTTGATGAAGAAAATGAAGCAGTTGCAACAACACCAGTCAGTGAACCTTCGACCTCTGATCAACTCCATTCCACACCCATTTCCTCTGACCTTACCCCAGAATCCTTACCCCATTCACCAACATCTGAGACAGTTGAAGATAACAGTACAGCAACATCATTGGCACAAACCTCATCATCAACAACATCTTCACTAATTGAACAAACACATTCTTCATCATCTAACACCACCTTGTCTCTTTCAGAAACCTCTTCAAATTCTGTTCCCGCTGAATCTTCTCCGACTCCCACTTTAAACTTTCCTTCTATTTCTTTAAATAATACTGGTGTGAGTTCTTCCATGGTAAATACACCAATAGCAGGTGAAAGCTCTTCAGTCAATGTAACAGGTATATTTAATAGACTTAGTGCAATTTGTTCTGCTTTCTGCACATTCTTTGCATCCTCATGTTAGGAATGTTTGTTGCATGCATCATTGCTATTCATCATTTTTCAGTTCAACTAAATACTATTTAATTTAAAATGTATTTGTCATATTTCTTTTTTTTTTTTTCAGTGCATTCAGTTCTATCCCATCCCTTGTATTATTACTATTCCTGTCCACTAAAACTCTACCAACCTTTACAGTTTCTCTGCATTGTGGTGGTAAATCATGGAATGCATTTTTGAAAACCTATTTTCACTTATCTTTACCTTTTATGCTGTTATAATTGATCCTACATATATAGATGAGAATAGAGAAGAGTTTTGAGTGTCACTCTGCAATGGCTTAACCTGACCATGTGCCTACTGTATGCTGTGTTGGGAAAAAGGAATTTATCATTTAAAAAAAATAACGAAATACCTCAATTATCAAATATAAAAGAAAAATTTTAGAATTTACTAAAATAAAGTTAAACTTCTGAATAATTGTTAGCTTACTGATAATTTACTCTGTCAGTCATTGTAATTTGGCCTGAATGATTTTAAATCTACTCTTCCTCTTCTAATCATACTCCATCTGTATTTTTTGTTCACATACTACAAGATGCTTTATGCTGCATGCTAAACTTTGTTTAAATGATATGCAGATAGAAATTTATTTCACTTAATTGTTACTTTATAATTATGTTATGCAATTCTCTTGAAATGTGCAAAATTGTAAGCTACTATATTATTTCTATATTTGTACATGTGTATGTACTGGGCTTTCCATTTAGTATGACACAATATATAATTTAAGTAGATTTTGACTTTTTTAATCTCATAATCTTTGGTTCAGTCCACTTATATATCAGATTACATTTTATTTAACCATCTTTGCTATTCTTCCAATGATAGAACTTTTAGTTTCCCCAACCTTTAATTGACAAGACCATTACCCTGAAACTTAATTAAAATTCATAATGATACCATTTCTTTCCCTCTACATTTCCAAACTGTGTCACCATAGATACAGGTATATGGACAACATTAAAAAATGATGTTCAGCAGACAACTGATGCACCGGACATCACAACAACAAGCTATATCCCAACAACAACAGAGTTGCTGACAGAGCCAACAACTCAACAACAACATACCACTACAAAGACATCAACAACAGAAGGCAACCAAGTAGTTGATGGTACAGCAACAGAGTCACATACGACAACACGTATTTATGTTGATGTGACAGAAATGATAATGGACACAGGAGATACAACTATTATGCAAGAGGTATTATACATGTTTACTTTTATGGGCAGTGTAAACCTATGTCCTGTTTACTACTTTTAATTTTGCTATGTTGTTTTTACAGCTAAAAAATCCATTGAGTAATTAATTTCACAATATCTTAAGAGGGTAACTGTCATAGTAAGCTGATTATATTAAATGTAAGGAACATTTTTGAAAAGGAAATAGCTATAAGCTTATGTGTTAACCACATAAAAAAAAAGAACACCTTTAACAGAACCATATATAAATTACATTAAGTAAGAACAAGTATAAACAAATTTTAAAATTCAAATAAAACTAATACATATTATTAATAATAAAATGTATTAATAATATATACGCTGTTTCTGTTTATGCAAGTTTACTCATTCCTGGATGTCAAAGCAACTGAAGAGAAGCAAAATTGATAGATTGCTTGCCAGGAGCCAATGTCACTCAATACACTACCTTGTTAAATTCAACATTAATTCTGTATTAGGTTATTTAATCATAATAAATAGGGCAGCACATCCTACCAAGGATGATTTAGGTAAAATGTTTAACTCAATTTGATCAAAATTTCCGATAGAAGACCTTGGGGGTTTTTTTTGTGCTTATTGATTCATGTAAAACCCTTCTCTCCATTGATAAATGTTTGCATATGGCAATGAGACAAAATATCAGCTAAAAATAATCCTGTCTTTTGCAAGTCAGTGATTTTTAATTAAAAATATTACAAATGTGTTTGCCTACAGCCTGTGAATGCTACAGCAAACCCTTTAACGAAGCATGATGCGACATCAACTTACAACAAACTTTCTTCTAATGGTGAGTATACAGATTTGACTTTGAACATATACTTCGCAATTTCTTATTCAGGAAACACATATACTATATGTCACAACAAACTATTCTTCCAATATGGAACACTTTATTTCTAATTGTTGTTAATGATTAACTAACAAGGCACTTGCAAAGAGCTACAATAAATAATTTTTTAACATAGTTTCAATTATGTATTTGTTTGACCTCTATTGGCTGATAAAACTAACAAATCTGTACATGTAGGTCCTATTTCATATGATTAACAAGATATTTCACAGCACAAGTATATGGCATAATTTTAGTGAAAATTGGTGGAAAGTGTAATGTCTCACCACAGGAGGCATTTTTACTGATGATGATGAATAACTGACAGCAGCCATCGAAGAAGCCTGGCCCATCTGCTGGGGGTCGACTGTAAAATCTGTCGGGGGGAAATGAAACATGGTGGGTATGGACTGTCAGGAAACCATGGATCAGCTGTCAGGGAAAAGCTGGCCCCACCCCGATGTGGCTGCATATAATCATTCACTGGCATTTGAAGTGATGACCACAGCCCTAATGAAATTTATGTTGATGTTGATATTTTCTGGTCTCTAGAAGCATGGAAATCACATTTATGCTTCTTCTTATTGTGTATGACAGGCAGCATCAAACTTAAATAACTATTTATTAGTTTTGTTTATTTATGCATTTTATTATTATTTATACATTTAGTCTTACCTTTAAAGTATCAAGATTCATGAAAACACTAGGTCACATGATAGGACTTCGGTGTTAGGAAACACCTCCACTGGTATTATTTAAACATGATCATAATAGACTGATTCGGCGATGGGCATCGCATGTTGGATATAAACAATCGACTGGCACAGCTGTGTTTTACATGGAGATTGCTATTGCGGCCGTACCTTGTTACTACTGTAAAGATTTTCATAATTCCCAGTAAACTATACCAAATTGATTGGAAATTAAACTTGGGAATTTTGCCTTAATAGTTTGATAATGCTGTAAAAGAAACTGGTCGCAAACTTGGGAGATTTTTCGACAAATGTTAGGCCTAGGCCCCTGCACATCCACAGCATGGTTAGGTATGCATGATTGTCCTCGACCTGCGAACTACGCTGCGATGGTAGGGCTAGCTAAGGTTTAAGAAGGATCACTTAAATTTCAAAGCATACAATCCTAGGAGAATGCTAGGATAAGTCAATAAACACTATTTTGAACAATTGTTTTGCCTTTCCTAGCCATTTATTTCTCACCTTGTTGTTTTCGTAAGTATAATATTATCTTTTTCTATACTATCCTATCGCACTGTAATTTTTTTTCATGTATGCCCAAGTTAAGTCATGTGACTGGCTGTAAACAAATATCTCCGAATCCGTCTATTGTTTTGGACATTATTGTAAAAAAATTACATTTTGCAAAAAAAATATTTATTTTTTCCGCAGTTTTAAGAATATTTGCTATTATTTTAACATTAATTTCATTTCCTTTTCAGGTGCTTTAATTGCATCACTGTGTTTTAGCGTTTTATTTGCATGTGCTGTATGTGTCCTACTGGGAAAGCGTTGGTATGAGGGTTACCAGAGACGACATTACTCCAAAGTAGACTACCTTATCAATGGAATGTACAACTAATGCTTTAACAGGGAAAGTGTATAAATTTGGTCATTATTTAGTTTGGGTTTTTATCATCAGAATTGGACATCTGAGTTAATAATATACTAGTCACTAATAGCCAAATATTTTTTAAAAGAATGGCTAAAATAATGATATCTATTATTTTATCCTGAATACTTTTTCACACTAAGTGTTTTTACAAAAGGCCATTGGGAAACATACATATACTATCATATTTAAATTTATTGATATTGTTATTTTTGTTTGTTTTTATAATATTTTTGAACGTGATTGATTATTTGTTTTTTGTAGGTACATGTAGCTTTCTTGTATACTTTTTTCTGTAATAAATGTTTCAGTGTGTTGAATACTTTGTTCATTAACAATATTGAGTCATTAATTTGGCCTGTATGTTCAGTGTTTTGTTGTTGTATGGTGTGAGGGTCACAAATGATCAACTATGTTGGATGGATCACCTTCTCTGAAGGTCAATAAATAATGTAATAATAAATAATAATATATATAAAATTTAACATTCCAATAGAATCTGCTTGAAATTAAATGAGGTTGTAATATTTTTCTCTCTGTTTTGGTTGTTTTACTAAAAATATTTATATGTTGTCCTAAATTTGGAATTTAGATGGTTGTATAAAAATAACTATCAGGCCAAGTTGTGTGTAGGGAGGGAAACATTGACTTAGGTTCAAAGTTGTTTTCCTAATTCTGAACTGTCTAAACAGCGCCATTAGTGAGCAAAGTAAGCCTCATTTTTATTGATGAACTACAGCCTAGGAAAATAGTGCCAAGGGTGTGTAACTTGAGGTGTTAGCACACAACTGAGGGCGGTTGATTAATTTTTATTGATTCTTTATTTGAAAAATACATGAATGGCTGGTGGCGCTGTAGAGTTGTACATTTGAGAGACTTGAAGCAAGTTTAAGACAACATATCTGGTGTTAAATAATTCATATAATAGATTAAACTAGCACACTGCAGTTGGTATGGTATTGCATTAATTAAATGTATTATCACTTACATATAAGAAAAGAATTTTTTGTACTCGCTTGGTGCATCTATCCTCATTTGAGTAAAGCTTTAAAGATTGAGTTGCTTCACAATATTTTTTACTTATTAAAGGTATTAAGTAGGATTTTCAACATAATCAGTTTAGGTTATTTCCATAGAGATGTATTTAAGAGGAATAATATTTGTATATATTGAAATATGATCAATCTATTATATAAATCAAGGTCTTTAAAATGAATTATTGTGCTTTGTGAGGTATAATACTTTATAAAAGAATAATTGAATATTAATCAGTAGCTCATTGATTTCATTGTGTAATATTTTTGTTGAAGAAAACTTATGTCTTTCATTTTAAAATTCCTTTTTCAAATTTAGAATTTCACAATTTATGATATATGACTAGTTCACTATGTTTAATCATTTAGGAGTTCCCATGGAAACAAGTTAAGATATCTTTATTACAATTGTGTATATAAGTTGATATTTATTAGAGTTAGAATACAATCAATCATTCACAATGTTATATACATAATTATATAGAACTCTGTTAAGTTTACAAATACTGTCATTTAAATATTTTAAAGCAGATGTGCTATATTTATTTGATTTAAACAATTTTTCCTTCTTAATATTTTTGTGATAATTTTTGACTTTTTTAAACAAGTTCTTTTTCATGTTATGAATTTGCCCACCATTTTGATTTGTATTCAACTATTTTACAAAAGTAGCGTACTGTTTTCCAGACAGCTAACAGTATATTTCAGGTTAGCTGTACTGTTTTTGATTTAGTTTCTTTCAAGTCACTATATTTCATACAATTTATTTTTTAATGTTTTATTTCATACTTAAGAATTAAATAAGAAAAACTGCTTATTTGAATTTTCAGTTACCATTATAATTATTCATTTCTTTTTTATAACATTTCATAAAAGTTAAGATTGTTATTGTTTGGATTACATTTCAGTTTATTTTGATTTTTGTAACAATTTCTGAAGCATTTAATAATTGAATCATAGTCATAATGCAACAATGTGTATTTCTCAAAATTTAGTAAAATGGTTTTGGATAATGGCTGGTTGTGAAGCAGTACATTATGTCTGTAAATGTCTGTCGATTGTTTGTAGTTAAGTCAGGTGGTGCTGCACATACAATGAACAGTGGCGTATCTAGAAGTCTTGAAATGGGGGTGCTGATAGAGGGCTTGAAGGTGAAGTAGGGGGCTCGATGTTCAGTTGAGGGCGCTAACCCGCAAATTAAGGTGATTTTTAACTACTTTTAAGTGACTTTTTTGGTGGGGCGACTGGGGGTGCGAGTCATTTTTAGAGGGGTGTGCATCCCCCGAGCACCCCCCTAGATATGCCACTGACAATGAAGGGTAATCATTGCAGTGCAATTTACACTGTAGTTTACAAGCCTTCTTTTAAAGATCAGTTGCACACTGACTACTGTGTTGTTTACTTTTCACATTCATATATGCTATAACAGATGAAGAAAAACCAAAGGAAATGCTGTTTCCAATTACTTTAACTGGGCATTTTAAGATAGACTATGCACTTTTGTTTTGAGTGTACTGTATTCATTATTTTCTTATCCTGATATCTTTGCTCAATGAATGATCACCAATGTTAAAATTACTTTAATGAATCTTTTTTTGCATTGTTATTGAAGTGCACAGAGGCATCCATTGCACTTAATGCATACATGGACATTTATTATTATTTTTATTGCATGAATTTGTTTTATTATTTGTTCATATCAGAGTTTGTTCATAAGAGTGAGCATTGTGAGGGTAGGCTTATTCACTGGAAAGCCAAAAGCAATATTTTTCTTAATTCTGCTTTCGTGTCCTTTCCCAGGCTCTGGGAAGAACTACCTCCTCTACTTTAAAACTCTGTTAATGTTTCCTGTTTTAAGAATAATTTAATTAAGCATTTTATTTCATTTTATGTTTCTGATTAGTTCTGATTGATTTTGTGTATTTCATTTTATATGAAGGATAGGGAGCAAATATTGTTTGGGCTTTCGCCCATTCCCTATCCGGGCAATGCATGATGTTTTTCTCCTACATGCTTTTTGCCAAATAAATATTATTATTATTATTATTATTATTATTATTATTATTATTATTATTATTATTATTATTATTATTATTATTATTATTAAATCAGCATTATATAAATCTATAGGTTATAGTTATTTCTGCATTTTTAAGGGTACATGTGGTTTATACCCATTTGCATATCATTAATTTATTTTAAGAATTATAATGAATTAAATATTTCTTAATTAACATTTTATAGGATAAGGTATTTTAGTAGTATTTCAAATTAATTTTTAGATTTTGAGATAATGGTAATGAAATCTTTAAAGCAATAAATCATATTTTAAAACTTATATATCTTGTGCATGTCTGATTTATTGTGGTGTTTGGAAACAGATTTTTCCAAGGTGTTTTATGAGTTGAAAACAAGTTGGAAAAACTGGTATTTTATTTCCTAATGTAATGAAATAGCATACTCAAATCTTATCTCAATTTTTTTATTACATATATTTCTTAAAATGTTATAACCTCGTCTACATCAAAAGTAAGGTCTTATTTTAAAATTAGGTGAATTCTGATGACAGATTTGAAAATTTCAGACTTCCTTACCATAAGATATCAAATTTATTTACAGATTTATTTACTTGTTAATCGCATAATGGATGTTGTTTGCCTTTTTAAATTTTTAAAAATTTAATTTTTATAAATATCTGATGAAACTATTCTTATGCCTATATCCCTCCACTTTGAATAACAATCGTAAAATGTGTAATAGACAGTATGTGGCAAGCATTTCTGACAGTCTTCCCCGACGAATTCTTCATGTAGACTGCTAGCCATAAAATCTATTAAAACACTTCGACTAGCTAATTTCAAAGTATGATTTTGCAAGTTTTAAGTAAGACAGATTAAAAAACAATTATTTTTTTTCCAATGATTTGCAGGGTTTTCCTTAAATACAAAAATATTTAAATACTAATTTAAATTAAAATAACAGCCTATGAAGTTCATGCATCGTCCTACCAGTGGTGGCGCCAGAGGGGCTGGGGAGCTATATCCCCACCAGCAACCGGGGGAACTTAGTGGCCCATTAATTCCAGGTTCGACTCACTTTATTTTAATCTGCATTAGTTGTAGCAAGTGCACACATCTGGCATGAGACTTGTGGTTTCAGTCCCAATCTCAAGTTGTTTGTGAAATCTACTTTTTCCAATGATTCACAATGAAAATTGCAGTTTCATGTGTCAAAGCTTGAATTTTAGTGTGTCCTCTAAAATGACTTTGAATGCACAAACAAGTATTATTTCATTATGCAGCTCACTTGATGTCAGCCTATTATACACAAACTTTTCTCATTGTGGCGGAAGTTTCAAATTTCAAATTAAGACACTTTTCTAATTCTGGTAGTGCACAAACATCTACAGGTGCTCTAAACAAAGCCCCAACCATGGTAGTGTGGAATCTCAAACCAGCAATATGGCAGCTATGATTAGAATCTCCATCACTCCTTGTCAGCAATTTGAACTTTTTGTCATTTATTGTACCATGTATTATTTAGGTTTATTTTTTTTTTCTTTTCTCCCTTGGCAATACTTCTTTTGTTGTGTTTAATATTTTACTTCTGTTCTTATTCTTAACTTTAAGAAATCTGGATTATTTTGGAAAGCAGTATTGCGTTACAGAAAATGCTATCCATTCAAAAGAATAAATAAATAAATCATTACCATCGTCATCATCGCATCCTGTTATGTAGAAGGTCCAACGACCTAAATAAAAAATGTCCTGAATGAATGACAATGTCAATTTGATTAACTACAAACAAATTAACTGTAGAATATAATTAACCATGACAAAACATTTGCAATTTGGTTGTTTTCTCTGTGACATCTATATATTTGTGCTATATAAAAACTCATTATTATTATTATTATTATTACTATTATTATCAGCACTGACCACTGTAAATGAATAGAGAATGAACAAGCTGCCATGTATACGACTTTGATTATAAAAATTAAAAAGGTGCTCTAGGCCTACTATAGCAAATATCGTGTACATTGGAAAGGGCATTAAGCCTGCCGACGCTGCTCAGTTTTCAGCTCTCACCCCAATTTTCAATAAAATATGTTATCTAATTGTCAAAGTATAATTTAAAGTTAGGGTTGAAGTCAGCATCACCGTTGCAAAGATATATTAAATCTGATTACCTCCGCAGACATGCCACTTCCCCAAATCCCCTAAAGTAAAATGATGGATTGATTGAAATATCGTGCAGTTAATTGGAGATCCATTGAAATATACACAGACAAATATGTTTGAAAGAATATACAGTTTTTATTGAAACTAATTAACTATAGAAAAGTACTGAAACAAAGCGTACAATCCAGATATCATAATTTTAATTTCTAACAAACTTTTTGTCAATTCTTGTTTAAAGATACAGTATAGTGTCTGACTGAAAAGCCTGGAAAACCCCCCAAAAATTAAATCAATTAATTGCCCATTTAAAACGATCAAAAAATATAATTAAAAATTCTAAGATTCCAATGAGACAGATTAAACAACTCAGTTATAGGTATTATATAATTACTTGTGAAACTGTTAATTGGCTTGGAAAATATTTTCTCATTTTCAATTGAAAGCAAAGAGCTTAAATATTCTATACACAGTATATTGAATACTGTTGTATTTAGTATTTTCAA